TCTCCTTTCCTCAGCGTGAAGAGTGACATTGTTTAAGGGACGGGGTCTGCTCATTACAGCCACGGAATCCGCATGAATACCAAAGACCGTGCTTCATACGAAGAGCGGCTGCCGGAGCCGGGACGCTGTGCACGCTGGGATGAGCCGGGGACGCGCAGCGGCTCTGCTCGGAGACGCCACTTCAAAGCCGGTGGCGCTGGGATCCGAACAAATCCAATTGCGGGACATGAAGCACGGTCACTGCTGCTCTGTTCGCGTGCTGCTATCATTTGCAGGAAATATGAGGCACTAAAATTCTGACACCACATTCCTTAGAAAGAATTGCAACAAGAAGAAGAAATGGCACCATGAATCCAGCCCCTCAAATGAGTCGGCCAAACCTTGACAATTGATCTAGTGCCGCTGTGATTTGTCCCTCGAGACGCTGACCCTCCAGGCAAGTAGATACCCAGACCATCTGGGAGGGCCGTCAGCGCCAGCGCGGGCTGCGAGGCCGCTGTGCCCTTGGCAAGGACTCCGAGGGCTGGGAGAGGCCGCAGGCAGCACCGGCAAAGCTGATCCTGGGGGAACGGGGTGGGGGGCGTCGGCACCCCCTCCTCAGCCCAACCCCACCCAGGCCAGTCTCTCCCGCACCCAGGACGGCTCCTTCAGCAGCGGAGGCGAGGAAAAGGGAAAGCCATGACAGGGCCCGCCCCGAGCTGCCGCACGCAAACCCCACCCGCCTAGCAGGCCAGGCCCGGGGCTAGCAGGCGTGGGCAGTCAGGCCGGGGCACCCCCGCCAGGGCCCAGGCCATCCACAGAGGCAGAGTCTGCTCCCGCAGGCCTGCCACCCCTGCCGGACTGGTCGGACCCCTGTTCTCCCAGTGCCCGCGGTCTCTCCTCGGGGAACCTGCTGTCTGACACAGTCGGTGGCCTGCAGCGCTGAGGCAGCGGGCATACGAGGGGACTCCACCTCCATGACACACGCAGGACAGGCCCAAGGAAGGCCAGTGTCCAGATGGGCCAGGCCTGCTCCTGCCGGCGAGAGACCAGGTCCCTGAGCCCACAGGGCGGCAGGAAGGAAGAACCCGAGTCCTCCTGGGTTGGGATCAGAAGGCCAGGCCTCGCCTGCCTCCCCAGCCTCCACCTGTAAGATGCTGGCCTGGCCAGTGCTTCATGTTCTGTAGGACAGGCCATGACCCCCGGGGCTACAGTTACCTCCTGTCCACAGGGAGGCAGTGCAGACCACAGAGGGCTGCCGCCAGCCACAGTGGTACACTTCACAGGGTGGCCTCCAGAGCTCTGAAGGACCGTGAGCTGCACACCCCACTGACTGGGCAGCAGAGGGCGGGCTGCGTGCTGACCCCAGGCCCCCTCACTGACTGGGCAGCAGAGGGCGGGCTGCGTGCTGACCCCAGGGCCCCCTCACTGACTGGGCAGCAGAGGGCGGGCTGCGTGGTGACCCCAGGCCCCCTCACTGACTGGGCAGCAGAGGGCGGGCTGCGTGCTGACCCCAGGCCCCCTCACTGACTGGGCAGCAGAGGGCGGGCTGCGTGCTGACCCCAGGGTCCCCTCACTGACAGGGCAGCAGAGGGCGGGCTGCGTGCTGACCCCAGGGCCCCCTCACTGACTGGGCAGCAGAGGGCGGGCTGCGTGGTGACCCCAGGCCCCCTCACTGACTGGGACTGGAGAGCCTGCACTGCCTCACACTGCCCACCTGCTGCCCATGAGACTCTGGCCACCTCCCTTAGGGCTTCTGGAGCTCAAGATTCTCAGCCTTGGCCTCCAGGTCTGGGCCTGAACGAAGAGAAGCCGGGAGGAGGTTAAAGATGGCCGCAGCTTGCAGGAGGGCCAGAGGCATAGAACCCTGCACTGGAGGGGGTTGGGGGAGACCCAAGGCCGTCCTCTGGAGACACCCACACCCCTTGGCTTCCCCAGGGGCCAAGCGCTGGGCGGAAACACCTGCCTGCTGTTACCAGCAGAGCCCACCTCTGGGTGCTGCCCTCCTGAAGTGACTTATTAAAACAGTGGGAGACCCGGTGGTGACACAACTGGGACATAGTACTGGGGGGGGGGGCTGCTGGGCACTGAGCGCCGAGCACCCTGAGGGCAGCAGCCGAGCATCAGGCCCGGGCTGCCTGTGCACCAGCTGAGGATGTGCCTCACAAGGACAGGCTGGCACTCACCCAAAATAGATACCCCAGAGGCAAGGGCCCAGCACCCTCGCCCTCCCCAGCCGGAGCCCCAGGCCTTAGGGTCCTAAAGACCGATTCAAGGGCTGCTCTGTCCAGACTCGGGGACCCGTGCAGGAGGAAAACCAGAGGCCACGGTGGAACAGTCCACGGTTAGCTTCTGTCCATCTCCAGCAGGGCCAAAGACCTGCTGCTAACAGGGACACCTGGGGCTGGCCGCGCTGCCACGCCCGCTGTGGCCACTTGTCACACTGATGCAGAGCGCAGGGCCACGCGCTCTGCGGGAGTTCTATCAGGCTCTCCGCAGAGTGTGCGCCATTTCTCCGCTTTGGCAATTTCATCTCCGGAAGGCAAAGTCCTCCCCTGCAGAACTGGATTTTGATTTGCTGGGGTTCACCTGACAGGCGCCTCTCCCAGGAAGAAATAGCGCTGCTCGGCTCTCCAACGCCAAGCCATCTGCTCCTCGTAATCCACGGAGGCCATCGCAGGCCAGACCCGACTCTGTCCCTGAAATTACCCCCTGGGCTGCCTCGAATGGACCCCGCAGCGGGCCCTTAGCTGGCCGGGCTGCTGGGTGGGCGGCAGGGCAGCTCTGACGGCTGACAGGAGCACCGCAGCAGCAGCCGCGGCCAAGGTCACGGGCGGCAGAAGCCCTTTAGCACAGCTTCCGAGCAGCCCCACCACGTCCCACAGTCAGCAATCACTGGCCCCCGAGGAGAAAATGAAGAACGCAGAGGAGCTAAGGTCACCAAGAGTCAGCCCTCCTGCATCTCCTCCTGTAGGTGCGGCCCTCCCACTCTCCCCCAGGGCAACCTGCCAAGTGACCCAAGGACAAACGAGAAGTGAAGATGATTCCACCAAAAGGATTTCTCATTCATGAACCTGCTTATTTGGGATGTCCTTACAAAGTCCGACAGACCACTTCCTGGTGGTGATTTATTTTATGAGGGTCCCTCCCTTCTCCACCCCTGCATATGTTCACAGGTGTGGCCGCTCGGCCCCACACGCTGTGTTGCTGCTGACCTGGCCTCAGGGGACTGGAAGTGACAAGGCTGAGGAGCCTGGGGTCCGTGTCCTAGAGGGAGGGGCACGAGGAGACACAGGAAACCAACTCGCCACCCTGCGACTGGGCACCGCAGCCGAGCCCTGCTCCTTGGCAGCTGCACCTGTGCCCCCGCACCTGCCCCCAGCCGTGGCTGCTCCATGGCGCAGGCTCCAGGGCCTCTGCCCTCGGCCCTCTGCGGTCAGTTCATTACGCAGGTCCCCAGGCTCCACCTGCGTCGGGAGGAACCTCACCTCACCTCAGAAAACCACGGTGGTGACAGGGCTGGAGAGAGGCAGGGCCACACCCGTGTCCAGCTGCTGCCAGAACAAGTCCCCACAGATGCAGCTGGTGGTCCACACAAGCGTCACAGGGCAGCAGAAGGGTTCCAGGATCTCACGGGTGAGAACCGCAGGGCCAGGGCCCTGTTCCTTGGCAGAATCCACTCTCGTGGCTGCAGGCCTGCGGCATCCTCACTGAGGCAGCCGCCCCAGAGAGCCTGGCCGGTGCCCTCCCTCCTGCAGAGCCGTCGAGGTGAGAGGTCCTTCTCGACCCTCCCTCTGACCAGCCTCTGCCTCCCTCTTCCACTCCTCAGCACACAGGGGATACGCCGGGCCCCATCAGCCAGGACACTCTGCCCACCTCAAATACTAACCCCCAGATGCAGGTACACCACCTGTCCCCAGGCTCTGGGGGATGGGATGTGGGCACCTTTGGAGGCCACTCTTTGACCACGGCAGGGGCTCTCTTAGACCAAGGGCTCACAGAGTTCTCCCTGTGACTCTCTGATGCTCAACGGGGACAAGGTGTTGAGGCAGAGTCAGCCACGTGAAGAGGGAGGAGACCAGCCTGCACAGCCACAGCCTGCCCTATCCCTGAGACGTCCTGAGGACAGCGAAGGCCGTGGGACACGGAAGCTCTGAGGGGGCGGTGGGCCCAGGTCGGGCAGATGGGTCCTGGGGCACACTGAAAGGGCATTGGGAACCATTAAAGTTCTCAAGGACAGAACGACGTGTTCTGATCTATGTTTTCAAAGATCAGCCTGCTCTCTGACATTTGGAGTGATATTTGAAAGGTGTCCGGGAAGCCCGGGTAGGATTTGGGCTGACGAAGAGGGAGACTGCTCTGCAGAGAGCGGATGAGCCTGCAGGAGGGCGCAGAGGGGGCGGGCGAGCACCAGGCCTCAGGCACAGGGCGGGCAGGGATGGAGGGCCTGGCCGGGGCAGAAGTCTGCGGGATGCCAGGCGAGGGGCAGTGCTGGGTCTGTCCCCGGTGGCTCCTTAGGAGTGATCAATAGTGCTGAACTCGGAGCCGGCCGCTTCCTTACATCATCATTAGATGCCATTGAAGAATCGATGGTTGGAAGGAAAGGAGATCTCTGCAAAAGGTCAGCTGCATGTGCAGAGACGGGTGCCCAGGGGAGGGGCCGGGCACAGGTGGAGGCTCCCAGACACACTCTGCCTAGCCAGAGAACTTAGGGCCCGCTCCTTCCCCCTGGCCCCTCTCCTCTGTATTTCCCCCTTTCCTGCACGTAGGTGATCGCCCCTGGAAGGTCAGCGGATGCTGTAGGTGGTATGTGAAGTGTCCAAGGAGCAGGACACCCAGGTGTGTGGACCTACAGGCCTCAGCGGAGCCCCGAGTCCCTCAGCAGTGCCCAGACCTGTCTTGCCAACCTAGGCCCTTGGCTCTGGGTTTCTGTCCGTGGTGAGAGCGCACGGTTTTCCACCCCACCCCACCCCCCCAGCAATCAAGAAGTGCCCTCTCTGGGGCAGAACCAAGGACATTGGGATTTGTTAAAGTGGTGAAATGGAGAGCAAACAGTACATGAGAGTATGACCTGACTCTAAGAAATGCTGTCCTCTCCAGCAGTCAGTGCAAATTCACGCCCCACACACGTGCCTGGTCCCCAAGCTCCATCCCACTCTGCTGAGAGGTTCAGCCACAGGCCCCACCATGCCCACATCATGTGGAGAGAATAACAACATACGAACCTTCATGGTGACCGCTGGGCCTTTGTACATTCTGCAGAGCTGTTTGAACCCTAAACTAAATGAGCAGACTGGTGAGTAACAGGGTCCGGAGGGCTTTGCGCCTGCCTGGCTCAGGAATTCAGAGCTGATGCTGTGGCCCCATTTTTCTTTCTCTTTAAAGGAGGAGGACCTGCTCGGCAGACCAAAGGACACGCTGACCCGCGCCTCGCCCTCCAGGTACACCAACAGCCACAGCCCCAGCCCCAGGGACAGATCTAAACGGACGTCAGGTCTCAGGTCAGACTTGCCCAGCCTGGTAGTGAGGAGCCTGTCCCAGGCAGCTGCCTGGTTCCGGGAGCAACCTGCTAACCCACCCTCACCCGCACACCCGGCAAGACTCGCTTTTTCTTCAATGCCCCTCTACGCAGCCCCCTCTCCCAGAGGTGGTGGGAGCGCTTGGCCCTCCCACGGGGAAGAGGTCTGAGGCCCCAGGAGAGACGGGGTCGGGGGCCTCAGAGCATGGCCTCGGCACCCGGGAGTGAGACGTGTGTTCCCCTCGCACTGTGCACCTGAACAGAGCTGCGTCCACAGGGAGGGAGGCAGGTGGTGAGGACCGGGCTGCCGGGCCCACACCAGCCAGGCCGAGGGACAGGCTCGGTGCCACGCAGCAGCAGCACCAGGGACGATGGGTGCCGGGCAAGGCCAGCCAGTGCCCGTGCCCTCTCCAAGACATCGGCCCACGGTTGTCCACCGGGACAGAGCTCCGCTCCCCTGCTCTGGGCCGTCAGACCTCCTGAGTCTGGAGCTCTCTCGGCCTATGCCAAACCTCAGCCCCACACACCCCTCTCCCTTTCCAGTGCTCTTCTGAGAAGAAAGCCGTGCCTGGACCCCGCAGGCATTGCCGGGGGAGCAGGACAGTGTGGCCCAGGAACAGCCGGCAGCCCACCAACATGACCAGCAACCCCCTTCCGGGTCTGTGCCAAAAGGAACAGGGTCTTGAAGATGCCCTGTCTTGGTCCTTCTTCTGCTCTGTGACTGCCCAGAATGGATGAGAACACAGGCTCGGCCACGAGGTCCACGGTCCAGGGGACCTCGCCGGTGGGACTCTGGTAAATCCAAAGGCAGCCCCAGCATCCATGGCCACAGGGTGTGCCCAAGAATCAGCCAAACAAACTTTTGAGAAGACCCACCCTAGAGATGACTGTTAATCCACTGACCTGCCAATCCATGAACCCACAGAGGACTGTGTCCATGACCTAGTCACCTCTTAAAGGTCCCACCTGGTTGCACCCTTGGAATCCCACAACAGGAAGGAGTGTCAGCACGAGACTTGGGGGGCAGTCACCCACGCTCACAGTAGACCTATTCAACAGCCAAAAAGTGACCACCTGTGTCTATCAACTGAAGCAGGGACAGACAAAGGGAGGTCTGGACAGGCAGTGGAACATTAGTCAGCCCCCAAAATGAAATCCTGACACCTGCCGCAAGGAGGCTCACCTGGAAGCCATGGCACCAAGTGATCCTCCCAGACACAAAGGACAGGTGCCGTGTGCTCCTGCTCGCGGGGAACCTGGAGCCGCCGAACTCTGGGAGAGAGCTTGGGGGACTAGTTAGAGCTCAGTGGGGAGGGCTTTGGCTTTGCAGGAGGAAAGAGTCTGGAAAGGCAATGGTGGTGGCCCTGGGACAGGCACATGCAGGTGATGCCCCTGGCTGCACTTGAAGTGACGCGGTAGCAGGCCCCGTGCACACGGCACCACAATAAAGGTGCAGGGAGAGAGGCCGGTGGAGGGCAGGCGTGTCCTGTGCTGAGCTGCTCGCCCGGGCTCACAGCGGGGAGAAGACAGTGGGTCTGCTCAGGCCTGGGACCCGCCCTGATGGCTGGGTGACTCTGGACAAGCTTTAGGCTCCACCGTATAAACCGAGAGAGGACCACCCCCCTCGCAGGCCTGGGGAGAAAACCAGACGCATAAAATCGCTGCTTCTGTTCCACACAAGCAAGGGCCCGGGGGTACATATGCTCGGCCAGGCCCACCCGTGCCCACGTGCCACCCACCAACACGCACGGCCAGCTGGAGGTCCCGCACGGTGACACCTGCCCGCCAGCTCTGCTCGCTGCCGGCAGCTGCCGTGAAGCGGTTGGTGGAGCAGGGGCCTGTGGAGGCGCGGGCAGCCTTGCCCAGCTCACAGCAGGTGGAAGGCAGCCGTGCCGGGCGTGAAGGGCACCTCACTCTCGGAACTGTTGGAAAAGAAGCCTGCGTGAGCGTTAGGGCCGGCAGCCAAGAAGCACAGGAGAAGGTGCCGCGCACGGGCTCCAGTTCTCCCACCAGCACGTGCAGCTGTCCGTGATTGTGACGGTGGCCATCCTGTCGGGTGGAGGGGCTGGGCATGCCCTGGTGGCTGAACTTGCCATCCTCCGGCCTCAGCCTCCCAAGGCACTGGGATTACAGGCGTGTGCGACTGCGCTGGCGCACAGTGGAGCTGGTGCACACGAGTGTCTGAGGAGGGGAGGGCCCGCAGCGGGTGTGGCGCACCTCCGGATCTTGCCGAGAAGCAGAGAAGAGAGCTGTGGGTGAAGCCGCTGATCCTGACCCGTGTTGTCCTCTGTCCCACATCAGTGACTGCCGCTGTCTCTCCAGACACCCGGGCAAAACGACTCCTGAGCGGCCACTCAGCACCCTGCCTGGCTACACACAGAAGTGAAATCACTGCCCCACGTGCCAGCCCTGCTGGCTTCCTGTCCCACTGTCCTCAACCTGGAAGGCGGCGGAAGTCAGCGTCCCCATGTCCCACGCCACACACGGGAGCAAGCCTCCATGTGTCCTTCCAGTCCAGCCCCTCCTTACCCCCGGGACAGTCCTCGCCCCTCCGCACGCGGCCTGCAAGCAGCCTCCCCAGTGACCTGCCCAAACAGCCTCCCCACCTGCCCGACCCATCATGTCGGTGGTGCGGGTCGCCTGCCTTAGTCACCCAGGTCCTGGGGCGTTGCCTGCCGGGGTCAGTTATTGATGGAGCTGCTGTTGTCCTTGTTCCCAGTTCCTGCAAGACACTGTAGAAGGACCTGAGTAATCTACTAACCAGGAGGAAGCAGGTCAGGTCAGTGAGGAGTCACAGATTTCTTTAAGCATCCAAGAATCCACCTTCCCGCGTCACACGCCTGCCCTGCCAGGGTCCCAAGTTGGCAAGAACCCTGGGTGGCATGCTCCTCCTCAGATGGCCTTCCTGAAGACTTGGAAACCAGGGGAAAGGCACTGGGCGCTGTGTGCAGAACGCTCGTGCAGGTGAAGCAGAGAGGCCGGGGCCCGCTGCTCAGGTGCGCAGCTCCCACAGCAGGAGGCCAGGCCTGAGGACCTGCTCACAGGAGCAGGAACCCAGCCCCGGAGCAGGGAGCCCCTTCTGCCTCCACCCTGCAGGGGGCACAGAAGAGCAGGCGCCTCCAGGGACCCTGGGCTCAGCAGCCTGGGCGCAGGGGATGGGGGGCCAAGGTCCTGGGGCTGGCTGCTCCCACTTTCCTGGAGCCTTCCACCACGGGCGGAGCAGAGCCACTGACAGCTTGAAGTGGGCTGGCCTGGCGGCCCCAGCGCCACTGGCTGAACACAAGCCACACCTCCTGCTCCACAGCTGGGCCAGCAGGTTTCCGGTCTCCACCTCAGCTCTGGGACCCTCGGCCTGGGGTGGTGCAGCCTGGGCCCTCCACTGTCCCCACGCTGCCCTCAAGCCCACAGGCCTTCAACCCAGAGGACAAGTCAGCACATGGAGGAGGCGTTTCCAGGCAAAGGCCAGGAGCCCTCGGGTGCAGCCCTCCCCCCTGGACTCCAGGGACTCCCTTCACACCTGCACTGCCCTCCCTCTCAGGAGGTACCTGCCTCCCACAGATGGCCCTGATGGCCTGAGGAGGAGGCAGCCAGAGCCCGGGTGCTCCCTGAAGGCCGCAGGGTAGGTGGTGGGAGGACGGCGTACTTGGTGGGAGTCGCTGCACAGCGCTCTGAGGAAAGTGAGGCCCGTCCAGCTGACACCCAGCCTGGACTGGAAGGAGCCCCTCTGGTCGCCACCAATGTGTGCCTGCCTCAGGAAGCCGGGAGTCCGGCAGGCAGGTCACACATCCCCACAGCCTGTCACTGTGGGAGGGACGAAAGGAAGGAAGGTGGACGCCGGTCCTTCAGAAGTCAGCCCCGCTCACACAGGCTGTACTGTCTGCTGACGCTGGTGCTATCTCCAGCCCTCCCTTCCCGTGCCCCGGAGGCGTGGTTCTCCCACTCCTGGGTGTGCATAGGCAGTGTTTGTGTGTGTGCAAGCTTACATGCACATGGAACATGCACATATGTGCATACATACACCAGCACACATGAATGGAGCACAAGAAATATGGCTGTGTGCACAGCCTCACACAGGTACACATGTGTTCACATACCATTTTTGTGCATGGACGTCTGTATTTGCACATGCCAGCTCACAGAGCATGCACATGTGCACGCACAAATACACACCAGCAGTAAACATATGCACACACATACTTAGGATTTCCTTGAGGCTGGAGAGACACTCCAGGTTTTTACCCTGGTTCTGCCTGGCTGATGACCTGCTGCTGAGCACCAACTTCCCCGCAGCCCATCGGGAGGAAGAAATATGGAACCATTATCACACCATTAACTCAGAGCTAATGGTCCAGGTTCATCACCCCTTTTTCCTGATGCGACATAACCGCATGAACCTGCCCCGTCCAAAGAGTGACTCATCAGCGGCAGCCACAAATCAGCCTCGCTGGGCAAGGGGAAAGCCACGCATGCTCACCTTCTGGCTCGGAGGGCCGGTGGGCTGCGTTGGTCAGGAGCTTGGTTCATGGTTCCAGTCAAAAAGCACAGCCTCTGTTGGGTGGAGCTGTGTGCACGGTTGCCTGACTGGAATCCAAGCCACGCTCCCTGAGTGCAAAAGCGAGGACGACGGAGCCGGCGGCCTGTGTGGGAGGCTCCGCCTGTCCTGTGGTGTGGCCCTCTGCTCTTGGCAGGTCTTCGCAGTGTCCTAAGCTCCTGTTGGTGACCAGAGGGACCACGTGGAGCAGCCAATGCAATAAATCAGGACCCTCAGAGCCCTGGCTCTGCTTGCCACCCGGAGGTGCTCACTGTCCCTTCCTCCCCACGTCCTTCACAGGAGAAGGACACACATCCCCTCTGAGAGGAGCGACGTGGGAAACCTTAAAAGAAAAGGCCTCCTCTCCCTTGTCCTTTGAGAGGCCATCATCCCCACCCACCCACACCTCTCCTGACCACAGATGGGCCACGCCTGTCTGTGCCGGTGCCTGGCACACAGGAGAAGGTGCCCGCGGGCCCTCCCAAGAGTGGGTGCTGGGCGCAGAGAAAGGCAGAGGCGCAGGCGGGACCGAGGCAGGAGAACGGCTTCCTTTGTAGATTCTTCAGAACGTGTTAGAGTAAGGAATCAGAAAAACGCTAAAGAGAAAGGTTGGTGTTAAAATGCAATCCGACGGTTAGATGAGGTCTCTGGTGAGGAGGAGGCTGAGTTGTCAAGTCACCCCAAGAGCAGATAGAGCGTCTGGGAGCTCATGCCCCCACACTCACAAGCTGAAGCCTCACTCCCACGCGAGGGTGGCAGGAGGGGCCTTTGCAAGGAACGAAGTCATGGGGAGGTGCCCTTGGGTGGCATCAGTGCCCCATGAAGACCCTTTGCCACGGGGGGACAATGTGAGAAGCCACCATCTGTGAGCAGAACACAGGCCCTGCAGACACCCGCCCTGCCTAGGACCTCTGGCCTCAGAACTGTGCAGAGCGAATTTGCTGTCCCTTGGCCACCAGTGTTGGTACTCCGCCAGAGCAGCCCCCCCAGAGCTCAGCCCCTCAGCGAGGGGAAAGCCCCCAAGAGGGTGTGCTGTGCGCCCCTTCCTACTAGGAGCAGCGCTGGCCTCCCAGCCTGGGCAAGGAGCCGCAGCACCAGAGACACAGGGTGGGCACAGAGAGGTGAGGAGCATGGCGGGGACACTGGAGGTCCTGCTCTGCCTCCTGCTGACCAGGTCCTGAGGTTGCAGGGGCAAGCTCATGATGTGGGAGCCAGCCCCCGACAGCCATGGGCGGTCAGCTTGTCAGTGAGGCTGACTTCGTTTAGTGAGACTTACTTTGTTTTGGAGGGCTCAGTCTGTGATCGACTGGCTCTAGGGCAGAACCACCACGGCACAGGAGGCCGCTCAGCTAGTAGAAGAATAAACTGCAGGGCACCCCCCCACTGCCTCCAACCAGGTCCACTCCCGGTGCCCATTCAGCACTTCATGGACTCATCATTGCCTGAAAGCTCCGCCTTGGGGCCCGGTTGCCCTGGGACCACGGTTGCAACACACAAGCCCTCTCTGGGGCCTTCAGATCCAGGTGGCATGGCTGACCGGCCCACCCACCTACGGGTGCCAACCTCTCGCTCAGCTTCCCTCAGGCTTGATGGGTCAATTCTCTGTGAGAACCACCACCCCTTTAGGGGCTCAAGGCGCCTGGTCTCCCGCTCACAGCCCCGGGGCCAGGAACCAGCACAGGCTGACGGGAGAGGCCTTTCCTTCCCTCCACAGGGGCTCCCTGGGAATGCTGGACTGGGCCTGGGAGACCAGGCTGGCGCCATGCCACCCATGGGGTGGACTAGGCCACGGCTGGGGCACAGTTCTTCTACCCCCGTGGCCTCACCCCGAGAGCCCCTCACCTGAGGGACAGAACAGGCTCTCCATGGGGCAGTGAGGACCCAGGAACAACAGCAGAGGCTGCCTGAGGCCCCTCAGGGCCCAGCCCAGCACTGCACACCGTCCGCTCCACTGCGTCCCCAGGTCAGAGTGACTATAAGGCCACCCAGGGAGGCATCAGAACCATCTCTGCAGAGCCCCCGCTTGCCCCTCACGTGGTGTGGATGCCATTCCCCAGGTCCTTGTCTCCAGGTGACATGGCCTGAAGCCAATGAGGAGAGGCCCTTCAACACCCTCTTGGCCTGGGAGGGCAGCCAGGAGGGTTGAATGTGTGCTCAGCGCCCAGCTCTGCAGCCTCCCAGTGTGACCCGAGGTGACCAGGCTTTCAAGCCCAGAGTCCCCAGCTGTGGGAGGACAAGGGTAGTGCATACCTCCTGGGCTGCTGGGGTTCAGGGAGCCCCTGTGCCAGCCCCCACAGTCCTCCAGGGGGGAGTGCTCTGGCCACCTCCTCAGCAACGTCACTCCAAACACACTCGCCCTGATTCCGAGTGGGGATGAACCCACTTGCTTTTGTTTGGGGCACCTGCCATAAGCCACTTGGCCAGGTGGGGTGGGACATGTGGCCCTGTCTCTCCCCGCCCAGGTGCTGGTGCTGGGGTGGCAGAAGGCTCTGGCTCACCTGGGCCTGTGTAGCTGGGCAGTGGTGTGGCCTTCTCTGTGCTCCCTCTCCGGGTAGGACTGACTCTGCCCTCTCGGGACGCAATCCCAGAAGTCCCTGAGCACTGGGCAGAGCTGCACGGACACTCTGGGCTTGTCTGGCTCGATCACTGCGCGATGCAGGAGATGAGGGAAGGTCTTCCCACACCTCCCCTCTGACCTCTGAGTCCACCTTAAAGATCCAGCACTTTATCATTTATTTATATTCTTTATGCGATGTGCTTCCTGTGAGCCAAGTCCAGCGTAGTGAGACACAGCCTGCATGAATAAATGAACACCCAGGAAGCCCCAACACCGCAGACTGCCGACCGCCTACTGCCTGCCGGCCTCGAGGATGCTCATCGATCGCCCCTGCTCTCGACCCCCGGCCCCTGACCTCTGTCCTTGGAGAGGAGGGTCACGTCAGCAGCTTTCCTGCAGCCATCGGTAAACCTTGCTGAGTTAGACCCTCATTCCTCTTCCTGATTAGACCTTCCGTTCTGTTTCCATCTGGAAAAATGTCATCGGTGCTGGTGATTTACTTCCCTCAGGTCTGTCACGTTGCCCCATAACCTCGTTCCCAGGGACTTCAATCTCTCAGCGCCTGACTTGGACTTATTGTGAAAGATGTCCTCAGAATAAGAATCGTCTTGCTGCTCTGCGAAGACCAGAGCTCAGGGTGGCCAGCTGGCTGCCGTGCAGCCTCCTCCCCACTGGCCGAGCTCCAGGTGCCACTGTGTCTCTGGTGCCATGGGACGGGGGGTGGCTAGAGGACACTGAGGGCCTCAGGACTGTGGTGGCAGGGTCACACCTTAGCTGGGCGAGGAGGCCACAGAGCCGCAGAATAGCAGGACTGGGACCTCGGAGACCCAGCTCACGTGGAGCCCCGCCTCCTGCCCAGCTAAGGCACAACCGGGCTCTCCCAGAGGTGCCTCAGGGCCTGGAGCCCAGAGGCCCCAAGTCCAGCAAGGAAAGGAGTGCCCAGTCCTTTCCGAGACAGAATGGCCTAGCTGCTCTGACAATGCCACCTGTCCTCAGGAAACGCATCAGGAAGGTCAGCAGGGCCACCCACCACACCTCAGCTTGCAGAGGTGTGTGCCACCAGCCGGTGACGCGATCCAGGCCCTTCGCACCACAGAGGCCTTCCCAGAGCCCGGCTGTGAGTCTGCCTGCCCTGGCTCCTCCCACCCCAAGACCAGCACAGAGCACCGGCAGGATCTGCTGGAGGGACCGACGGATGGATGGATGGACAGATGGATGGATGAGTCGGTGGGTGGGTGTTCTGAGGTGAATGCCCCCTTGTGTTCATTTCCAGAGTGAGCGCCCCACGGTGCTCCCTGCTGCCCCAGTGTCACAGGCAGCTTGGCCTCCAGGGCCTGGGGCACTCAGCACAGGCATGTGCATAGGAGGTGGCTGTGGGGGCAGCGAGGGCGGCAGAGGGCCAGGATCCACCATGTGTGATCAATTCTGGGACCATGGTAAAGCAGATGATGATTCTGCAGGTCTGGGTGGTGCCAAGGCCTTGCCGCAGGTCCAGGGCCACACCTGAGTGACAGCGACATGGGACACATCTGCCTGTGCACACCCTTTCCTGGGATCGAGGGTGGGCTTGTGGTATAGGATTCAGGATGCTGGGAGATGATGATGAGGGCTGACGGTGGGACGAGCGAGGGTCCTGCCCCACTCGAGGGGACTGGAGAGTCCTGGGAACACTGTTTGAGGGGACTCCTGAGTTCGAGGGGGCCAGGGCTCCTCCACCATCAGCAGAGTGTTGTGGAACAAGGGTTACCCGATGCTCTGGCCTCCCACTAGTTGCAGCCTCCTGCTTGACCAGCGTGAGGGGAACAGGGCTTTTCCAGGTTTATTTCCTCCTCTTACATTTTTAAAGACTAACTGCGTGTTCCTCTGTTCCATTAAGACAACAGCCGGCAACCTTGAAGGTGCCCTCTGTGCACTTCCCTGGGCTCCAGGGAGACGGCAGAGCAAGGCTGCAGGAAGGGGCTTTATGAAATTCACAGCCCGCCTCCGGAATGAGTCTCCACCTCACTGATGGCCACAGAGCCACAGGTGCCGCAGGTTGCCCTGTCAATGAGCCTCGTCTAAGTTTTATTAAAATCTTTCTGAAAATTTCATCCTTTTCCTCCTGGAAGCCAGTTGGACTCGGCACCGCTGGCCTCTTCCATGCTGGAATGATTGTGTGACCTTGAACTCAGCCTTTGTGTGTGCCCACAAGCCTGCTCTGAGGACAGGGCCACCTTCCCTGCAGGGCCCTGGCTGCTGCCCTCAAACCCCTCTGGTTACACCTCTCCTCCCCACCTGCACCATCACCTCCTGAGCCAGGAGGACCCTCTCCCCTGACCCACCAGATGGTGGACGTGCGTGTGTCTGTGTCGCTCTCCAGCTTGTTCCCCTGAGGATGCCAAATCTCAGGTGGAACCTTTACTCTGAAGACTGCTTTGCTGAGTGAGCTCAGTCCTGGCGTCCAGGAGACAGCGCCCCTCTGGGTGCCCCAGGCTCTCCTCCTTCTTCCAGTGCGGCCATCCCACAGAGCATTGCTGCCTGACAGCTGTGGTCCTGGGACCTTCTGCTGAGCTCACTCGCTGGCCTGCTCTGGTAGGTCATTAGCCAGGAACCACCTCCTCTGACCCTCACTATGTGTGCGAACATGAATAAGCAAGTCGTGGTTCTGACGTGATCATTTCACACACAAGAGAGTCACGGCCCAGAGACTGGTCTGTGCCTGCTCGCCCTCCAGCTCCCCATCGAAACCCACCTACGGTCCAGTGCTGTCTCCCGTCACCAACTGCAAGCCAGGCCACTGTGCACACCGGACCCCTGGGCCCGTCACACTAACACCACGCACCACACAGACACCAACGCCACAATGACACCAGGTTGATGCCACGCTTATGCCACAATAAAGTCACACTAACACCATACACCATACAATCCATCCAATGCCATGTTAATATCACACACCATGCCAACAAGACACTAATGTCAGGCCGACGCCATTCACCATGCTAACAGCACGCTGACCACACTGGAGTGCCAGGCTAATGCCCCCAGCGGGCACCCAGCCTCTGCAGACTTTCAGGAGCACCCAGGGCAGGCGCCCACATGCCACACCTTACTCCAGCGTGAACTGAACCTGAACCTTATTGGCACAAATCAACAGGGGCTGAGAGGAGCCACGGAGGGTGGCATCAGGAGTTGAGCTCCCACACGGGTCCTGACACCCTCTCAGTGGGAGGCAGTTGGGCATGAAGTCCTAGAGTCTCCAGAGCATGTCCCCAGTGCCCCAAGATACTCCTACCAGCGGCCACACTCTTCAACAGAACTCAGCAAAAGGAGCACAGCTACAGTCCCACAGAGCAGACACCTCGACAGACTCCGAAAGCTTCAAGCCTTCATGACAGATGTGCTGGGTCCCATGACAGAAGCGCTCCAGCAGAGAGCAACAGCCACGCTGTCACGCCCCGTCACCCGAGCCACCCGCTGACTGGACCTCTCCAGTGTCTCCACACCCGTCACAGCTTCCTCACCACTTCTTTATTTAAAATGCAAGTCCTTCAGGCCACTTCCACCAGAAGGCGGACGGTCCACCCTGCAGAGAGCCCTCGCATACACAGGCCACGTCCCGGTGCACTGGGCGGCAGAGATGTTCTGCTCCTTAACCATGAGACGGTACATATAGGGCATCATGGTGCAGGCCGACCCAGCCCAGCACAGGTACAAACAGGACCTGCACGTCTGTTCTGAAGGCTGAGGCAGGAGGATCGTGAGTTCAAAGCTAGCCTCAGCAACTTAGTGAGGCCCTAAGCACTCTGTGAGACCCTGAGTTTATTTTTATATTTAAATACAGTATTAAAAAGGACTGAGGATGTGGTTCGGTGGTCAATTCCCCTGGGTTCAATTCCCAGTACCAAAAAGAAAAGTGAAACCTAAAGTTACAAAGTAAAAGCATTGTTTAAAGGAGGGAGCAGATTTCCACACCTCCCTGGGAGAATCTGACAGGACTGGCTAGAGTGGGGACAGGTAAGCAGGAGCTCCCAGGACCTGGCCACCAGCTGGGACTGGGAACCACCCAGAGCACTGACCTTCGTCAGGCTGTCCCCCTCCTCCCCACAACTGGGCTGAAGGCAGCTGCTTCCCAGGGCGCCTTTAATAAAGCTCACTGCATTTCCGCTGAGCTAATTTAATCACTCAGGTGAGTGACTCTCTCCATTTACACCAGCTGGTTTCTGATGGCGCTCCCAAACGTGTCAACCACCACACAAATCAAACAGGGCAGAGCGGCCCCCACAGTACCCTCCTTGCTTAATTAAACTGCATCTAGCAGTGACCTGGATGGCGGGCGCTGTCCCCGGCACCACACCATGAAATCTGCCAGGAGCTAGCTCTCCCCAGGCAGCCCTACCAACCCTCCAGCCTCAGAGGCCACCGTGCCTGCAGAAGATGCTGCTCAAGGGCACCGCGATCGTGGAAGGCAGGCTGAGGTGGGGAGGCAGAAGCCGTGTGCTTTTTAATTATTGCAGATCTCACCTGAAGAAACGGTACCTCTGTCAGAGTTAAGGGATGACTAATAGTTTCTCTCCCCATGCATCTGGCAGAGCGGTGCCCAGAATTATGATAATTGCCCCTTGTCTGTACATACTGTCTTTCCTCCAAAGAGTCTGAATCTTCCAAAGATTGCTTCAATTTATCGTTCAACATTGCCGAGGGCAGAAAAAAAGTAATATTAGTGGGTCAGACAAATAGATCCATTTGATAGGAGTTAACCAGAGAAGAGGTAAAAGTCCCTCATCACAAGTCTAGCATTTTACACGGTGGTCAAGTCAGGGAGGATTCAAATTGTCCTCTAGAGGTGCATTCGTTGGGGTAACAAACTCTGAAACAAGTGGCTTTGCCCACTGAAACCTACCTGCTGCTCAGATCCCAGTTGGACATGTCACCTCCTTGCAGTGACCCAGGGACCACAGGCATCTCCAACCTGTGGGACTGCCAGAGCATCCATGGAGCCCTTTGCTGACCTCTGCATCCAGCTGGCCCTTGGGCACAGGCCAACAGCATGAAGGGCCCATGATAGGCAAGGACTGGGCACGCAGCACTCACTGCCGCCCTCGCTGTTGGCCAGAACCTGATCTCCTGGCCAGGACTGACGGCGGAGGAGACTCGGCAACAGAATAGGCAGGACAGCCAGGAGCCTCCAGCCCAGAACACTGCACCTGCTTCCTTCCTATCCTCCCTGAACGGGAAACACAGGGCTGTGGAGCCAGCCAGGTGAGCAGGCCCACAGAGCTCTCGCACGCTGACCACACCAACAACCGGCAGAATTCAGGGCTGTCATCTGAGGACTCCAGGGGGCAGCTGGGCGGGCCAACTGGACAGGAAGTCGCCCTGACCAGGGGCCAGTGCAGCGGGGAGCTCCTTGGTTTGCCTTCTCTGTCCTCATCTTTGTCCCCGAGGCAGTTGGAGTCTCAGAGCTGCGCCCTCAGCAGGACAGAACCACTCGGGGAGAACGCCCTCTCTGGGCCAGACGCTGGAGGCGGGTCTCGCAGGTCCGAGAGCAATGGCCACGGGCAGGCCCTCTTTTCCTCCTCCCACCCCTTGCCCTGCTCTGGCCTGCCCAGTCATGCAGGGTGCCGAAGTCACCTCTCTGGCTGGAAGGACGGAGAAAAGGGGCCTCTGCTCTCCAGAAGCACTGGAGGGAGTCCACTGGTGCTCGCTTTCGTCTTCCCACCAACCCTGAAACGTCCCTTAGGGAACTGCAAGACAGCCCCTGGGAACAAATCCAAGGAAGGGAAACCAGAGCTTTCTAACAAAGGCCGGGGGCACTGGTGTCCTGTGATGTGGAGAGCACTGGGGAGTGCCCGGGGAGGCAGTGGGAGAGAAGGTCCCCTAACAGTGAGGAGCGACCTGCCAGGTCACACTGGAGCAGGCTCACACTGTGAGCCAGTGGCGCTGCCAGAACAGCGTTCCACAGGTTGGGGCTGGAAGTCCAAGACCAGGGTGCCCGCACGTGTCCAGCTCTGGGGAGGGCCCTCTTCCTGGATCACAGATGGATACCTTCTCCCTGTGTCCTCAGAAGGCCCCTGTCCTCTGGTCTCTCTTCTCATAGGGGCACTGATCCCCTCATGGTAGCCCCACCCTCACGGCCTCATCCGGCCCTGATCACCTCAGTCACCATCACACCTGTCCAGGGCTGCAGCATGCAATTATGGGGACACAATTTCAGTCCATGGCACAAATTAGAGGATTTGGAAACTGAACTGGCACTAAAATCACTCCCCAGCAGGTGAGACAGCCCCTGTGGTCATACCTGATGGCCCCAGAGAATCGGAGTCCAGGTTCTCAGCTCGTGCATGGTCGACACCTCAGCTGGACTGTCCCTGGTGGGAGAGACTGTCCTGTGAAATGCAGGATGTTTTTGCAGCATCCCAGGTCTCTATCCACTAGATGCCAGCAGCAACCCACAGCTGGGACAATCAGAACTGCTCTGGTCACTTCCAAAGCCCTCTTGGGGCAAAGTCACCCCTGGCTGAAAACCACTGACATAAACAGGACTCAGCACCTTGGGCATAGGATTCACTATGCCTGGGATGTGATCTGAAATTGCATGACATACTTAGAACCAGGAGAATCTGACAGATTCCCAAGTTTGGGGAGACTCAGCCCATGTCTAGCTTGAGATGTCCCAGAAGTCTGAATCGCCTAAGCTTTAAGGCAGCCCAGTGGCTGTGCTTCATAAGGTACAGGTGACCAAGGTGAGCCTTCCCAGAAACAGAGAAGGGCCGTGCCCTAGGGAGATGAGCTACTCTAAACTGAGAGCTTCAGAACTGAAGGAAGGCAATAGCCAAAAAACAAGCCACAAGGAAGCTTCAATTGTAGAATTCTGATAAGGGGAAAGGAGAGCTTCATGACAGGTGAGCACAGTCCGTCTCAGATCAGAGGGGAAGGAAACAGTGGGAAACACAAGAAGAAAAGCCGCTTCCGAAACCCAGTTCCCACCTCCCAGCACAGGGTCCTGCCCGAGCAGCTCCCTGGCAAACTCATGGCCCATTCCAGTTGAGACCACCCGGCCGCTCCTGCCCCTCCCGCCCCTCCTGCCACTCCTGCCCCTCCCGCCCCTCCTGTCCCTCCTGCCCCTCCTGCCACTCCTGTCCCTCCTGCCCCTCCTTCCACTCCTGCCACGGGGCGCGGGGGGGGGGGGCATCTCCCCTCTGATCCCAACGACGTTGGACAAGCCACCTAGAAACCTGCAGGTAGGAGAAACAGGAGGAGAGACAAAGGAGGGGTGGCCCGCCTCTCCTGGCTCAGAGTGACGGCAGCGCCGGGGGAAGACCAGCTTTTTCTGCCAGATTCTTATGGTTCCAAGGCAAGAGTGGAACCTTCCAGGTCACTCGGGCCATCCTCAGCCCCACGTCTGTGTGCGCACCGTGTCACTTCGCAAGAAAGCCATTGTCCTCTAATGGGGACCCTCTTCACAAGAAAGAGTGATATCGTCTATGACTTCAGATGAGAAATTTAGATTTTCATTGACCTAAAGATAGGAATAAAATGAAAACACAAAACCAAGAAAGCCTGGCCCACGTGTGGGCACTTCAGCCGCCTCCTGTCACACACGGTCTCCACGAGAGGACTCTAACTCTCCCGCCAGCCGCCCTCACCGGCCCATGGCGGCCTCGGGAGGTGGGAACTCGAGCACGGCACGTCCAGGAGAAGCAGAAGCCCGTGGGTAGCCCTGGCGTCCACTGGAGCTAAGTGCTTCTCACTTAGTGGGCCCTCTTCTCAACCAGTGCTGTTCCCAGTGTCCTCTGCACAACAGCGTCATCTGCTGTTGCTGGCCGTTTAAGTGGCCTGCAGCTTAATTTGCAGCATGAGTCAACGGAACTTCACTCTGTAGTCTCCAGGGTTTGCCCCACACATTTAGTCCTATTCTTTGCCTCATTCCAAGGCAGTAAATTAGAATTCTCCTTCTTTTATAACATGAAGAAATTAGTTTATTAACAGAAGAAATGGGAAAGAAGTTAGAACCCTCTGTCTTCCTTACAGAGGGACAAGGGGAAAGATATCGACTGGCACAAGAAAGCAATTTGCACTGCGCAGGGTATTGGTGCTGTTATCATTTGAGAAGTGTGTTTCTCAGCCCTTGGTGATGGGACGCTGGGACAGGCACACGGCTGACAGAGGTGGGGGGGGGGGCATTGTCTGACCTTCCTCCCCAAGTCCTGATTCTCAAACACGGAAAGGCAAATGCACATTAGGTTCCTCCAATGTCTCGCTACCCCTGGTTTCTGGGCTTTCTGCAGTCAGGGCCATTTTCTCCACAGCACTGCTAGGACTCTGAGGTGGGCGGGTGCTGGGATCCCATCAGAAGATTCAATCCTGAGCACCTTGGAGTTAGGACAGGAGGGGAGCTGGGCTGTGTCTCCTGGAATGACAGGGCCAGGGCCTTTCAGGATATTCCTGACACTCTTCCCCTGGGCCTGCTTCATCTCCCCTCTCACTCCACCCTGGGAGGACCACTCGTCTCCTCCCTAGTTCCACAAGACAACCACGAAGACGCCACATATGACCTGCAATTATCATACACCCTCCAGGGTGGGCCTGCTTCCTTCAGTCATTGGGGTAAAATTCTCCAAATTCGCATCCATGTGCATGGCTTGCACATCCGAAGTCCCAGTCATGAGCACACAAACGGGACCCCAGGAGCCTCAGGCCACTCCTCCTTGGCTGACACAGAGACATGGACTCAGGTGCCCAGGAGGAAGACCCCACCTGCGGACCGCCCCTCGGCTGCCTCTCCTGAGCCTCCTTCAGTCGGCTGTGTGCCTGCTCAGGCTGTAGCCGCCCTGGCTCCACGCTTGCTGGGGTACCTGTAATTGTCACCATTGCTTCCGCCAGCCTGCATCTCTCACTCTTCAGTGCCTTTGAGATGTAGCTCCCCTTCAGTTCCACTGAGGGTTGCGATGCCTGTTGACCAGGGCACTTCCCTCACCTGGTTGTGAGCTCCCCAGGAGCAGGGACAAGGTCAGGGTTGTTCTCCGTACTCCTCAAGCCCAAGCCAGGCCTGGCCCAGGCCACACCCATGGGACGAGCCTCCTGCTGCCCTCTGCACAGAGCTGACAGAGCAGGCCTGCACTCTGCGGCCTGTGCCCCCTGACCAGGTCTCTGTGCAGTCCCCTGACTGAGCGGAGAGAAGCCGCAGCCCTAGGCAGAGTCTCCAGACCCTGGCCTGCAGGCCGCTCACACATTGTGCTGACGTGAAGGACCGTCCACACCGACACTTGATTAAAAGGTGAGAGTGCAGAGCACCCAGCCGAGAGGGGGCGGTGGATAGAGCCCCGCTGGGCAGAAGTGGAAGATGCCCCCTCAGACAGCCAGGGCAGGACGCATCCAGATATGCCTACTTCCCGGGCCCCAGCAGTTATTAGATATGAATTTATAGGCCAGGGTGTGTAACTACAAAACACAAATTCCCACTAACCCATCACAGCACCAATAGAGAGAGAGGCCTGGGCATTTTCAATCTGGAAATGAATCCTGCTTCTACGACAGGCAAGGCCACTACACACGCGACGTCATAGCAATCCAATCAGCGCTGTCTTTAGGGCACGCAGTGTGGAAAGCTCCAGGTGGCCAGGCGCAGCGCTGGCCGCAGAGGAGATCGGCAGCCAGCTCCAGGCAGTTACAGCCTGGGCGTCACGGGCACCAGCGGCTGTGCCCCCGCTGCACCAAGGGCTCCGGTGTGAGCACCGTGCGCAGCCCACAGCAGCACCACTCAGGGCCCCGCAGCGGCGCTCCCGAGGCTCTGCCCTGGCTGGCAGCACTGAGCCTGAGGACCCTGTGTGACCAGCTGCTCTCACCTCCACTTGACAAAGACCCTGAGGCCCAGCGACAGGAGAGCAGGCAGCGCCCGTGGCCTCCACACCCCAGCTCTGCAGGCCTCTCCACACCCCAGCGTGCTCCTCCACACTGCCCACTAGGAGGCAGAGCAGGGGCTACCCTCCGAATTGTAATCAGGAAACAGGGAGATCATGCACAGAGCAATGGATGATTCTGACACCCCCCACCCAATACACACACACAAAGTTCTGCTGTCTCCTAACCCAGTTCTCCTCTCCTTTGTGACCGCCCCTTGGAGGGGCTCTGACGGGACTTGCCAGAGAGCACCGTATCCTTGGGATCAGGAAGGAACCCTTAACAGTGAGGAGTTGGCAAAGTGGCAAATGGGGTAGAAGGGAGGGTGGAATGGCATCCCTAGGACAGCCGGTCGACTGCTCTGACCGACTGACGCTCGGACCGACAGGAACAGCCGGGAGGAGGGGATGTGGACAGGGCATGACGGGAAACTTCTCTGCAGCACCTGGAGGCAGCCGTGCCCCCAGCCCATCCGCGGCCCCCTCGTGAGCCCCCAGGAGCCTCGGGACATGTCTCTGAAACTGGCCAGGCGCCATCCCTGTCAGGACAGGAGGCAGCTGAGAGGTGCAGTGATGATTCCACCCTGACCTGCAACACGTCAGCTGGAACCACAGCTCGGTCTTGGCCCTGCTGGATTTTTAAGGACTTTAAATCCCTCCCTTAATAAGTCTACCCAGGAGCCAAGTTTAAGTAACGGAGCAGCTACCTTAATCTTTCTTCAGTTTAATCACACCCAACACCTTGCATATTTCAAAGGGAACACACATTAACCGTTCTCAGTACATGAATGCATGAAGGTCACACAAGATTTATTCCCCTTGGCAGGTTGGGGAGCCTGGCTCGACTGTCAGGAAGACAGAGTGCTCTGTTTGCAGCAGATGCCCCGGGAGTGCCAGCCCTTCACGTCTTCACAGTTTTCCTTGAGAGGGGTCTGGGCTGCTTTGGAGGGTGGAGTGCTTGGGAGGTCCTCCATCCTGCGGAGCTTTTGTGGAGCAGTTGGGGCTGCTGTCTCTATTACACTGGTTAGGGCACTTCACGTCAAACCTTCCTGACATCAGGGCCATGGCTTTTGTGGCAGTGGGCTGGGGACAGGGCTTGAAGGATCAGCGCCCAGGCTCCATCTCCAGCCTCCTCTCCCGGGTTCCCCGAGGACATTACTGCTGGGACACAGAATCCTGGGCTCAGATTCGGTACCCAGGGGCCCTTTGCTGACATGGATGGAGTAACCTGGAACCTGGGGACATGTTTTATTTGCTTTGGTCCCTAGTGCCCAGCGCAGTGCCAGGAGTCCAGTACGTGCTTGCTGGATGAATACCCGAAATTCTACTGGCAGGGACCATGCAGCAGATCTCACTCTGCTCTGAACACCTGAGGCCGATGGAGCTTGAAAAAGAGTTTACATGCAGCCACTCCAAGTTGGACAACTGTTTTAGTTTTTTCACTGCTGTGACTAAAGGACCTGACCAGCACAACTGTAGAGGAGGCAAGGTTTATTTGAGGGCTCACAGGTCCAGAGGTCCTAGTTCCTAGAAGGCCGGTTCCACTTCTCAGGGCTCGAATGAGAGAGAACATCACGGTGGAGTGTGGGGCAAGGGATGCAGCTCACATGGTGAACAGGAAGCAGAGAGAGTGGTCTCCACTTGCCAGATACAATATGTACACCAAAGCCACACCCCACCTCTTCACTTAACCCCGTCGGGGATCAACTCACTGATTAGGCTAAAGCTATGACCCAATCATTTTTCCTCCAAACCTTCCTGCATTGTCTCACTTGTAAGCTTTCGGGGGACACCTCACTTCCAAACCACAACAACAACCTTCCTTTAAGTGTTTTGTCCTTTTGCATAAGATATGGGCCACTTCCAGAACTAAATCTGCTCATTTTTTCACTCAATAATGATATTTATTAGAGTTTGATGGCTCAGGCACTGTGCTAGGAATAGAGAATTCAAAGATGGGAATGGAACAAATTTCTCTCCATGTTTTGGCCTCTAACCCCTGAATATCAGCCCAGAAATGAGATAATAGCTTTAAATTAAATACGTTGAAAAAGTCCAAGTCTGAAATGTACTTGGGAGGATAGGGTAGAATGCTTGTTGAGCCTACTCCAGGACCTGAGTTTTATTCCAAGCACCAAAATTTT